GGTCTCCCCGGACCCTGCATTCACTATATCTGGTCTCCCCGGACCCTGCATTCACTATATCCGATCTCCCCGGACCCTGCATTCACTATATCCGGTCTCCCCGGACCCTACATTCACTATATACAATCTCCCCGGACCCTGCATTCACTATATCCGATCTCCCCGGACCCTGCATTCACTATATCTGGTCTCCCCGGACCCCGCATTCACTATATCTGGTCTCCACGGACCCTGCATTCACTATATCCGATCTCCCCGGACCCCGCATTCACTATATCCGATCTCCCCGGACCCTGCATTCACTATATCCGGTCTCCCCGGACCCCGCATTCACTATATCTGGCCTCCCCGGACCCCGCATTCACTATATCTGGTCTCCCCGGACCCTGCATTCACTATATCCGGTCTCCCCGGACCCCGCATTCACTATATCTGGTCTCCCTGGATCCTGCATTCACTATATCTGGTCTCCCTGCATCCTGCATTCACTATATCTGGTCTCCCCGGACCCCGCATTCACTATATCTGGTTTCCCCGGACCCCGCATTCACTATATCTGGTCTCTCCGGACCCCGCATTCACTATATCTGGTCTCCCCGGACCCCGCATTCACTATATCTGGTCTCCCCGGACCCCGCATTCACTATATCTGGTCTCCCCCGGACCCTGCATTCACTATATCTGGTCTCCCCGGACCCTGCATTCACTATATCTCGTCTCCCACAGTACACACAACATGGAAATGTAATTATTTAAGTAAATATAACCTGCTAAATACTTTTTCTCATTAGCAGTATATAGCAGTCATGTGACTCCTATCAGTGTCTAGCAGAACACTGGTTAAGAAAGCTTGTAGCAGTTTTCATTCTTCTTTCACTGTCCTATGAGGCTGCAGGACCCCTGACCCTCTGTCCGGACAGTGCTGATTGGCCCTGTGCTGATCACATGCATCCTCCCAAGAACAAAAAAAAAAAAAACCCTCTCTAGAAATACACACCAAACTGAGCATGTGCAGAGTGCATCTTAGGGCTCTGTACTATCAGCAGATGGATTGGGGACAGTAGAAGAAGGGGAGGTACAGAGAAGACAGGATCAAACAGCCTTTTTACACAATGCAGAGGAATAACCCCTTAGGTGCCACAGTGAGTATAACAAGCATGCTTTACTACATATACAGACTGATTTTACTGTTGTGGGTTTAGTAACACTTTATATAGGAAGTAAGGGCAAACACATTATTGGGACATTATCTAAGTACCAATAACGTACTTCTAATGATGCTTCCTTCTTGAAAAATGTTTAATTGCATGCAGCCTCTGATGGTAATGTCACCAATTTTTAGTTCCACTTATGAAACCAACAGTCAAGGTTGGAGCACAGTGGTCACAATGGGTCACTCACTCTGCAGCTTTTCTCTTCAGAAAACATCCTGTATTCCTTTCAAGGACCACAAGGTGTTCTATGATTGGACAAGGGAGGATCATGGTGCTCATACTCCTCTTATCCAATCACAGAACGCCTTGTATTTTTAAAAAAGAATTCAAGCCCTTTTTTAAATGGAGAATCTGCAAAACGAGTGATCACTTTGCTCCAGCCGTGACTGTCAGTTTCATCGCCTGAACTTTATCGGTGACATGACGGTCAGAGGCTACATGTATCTGCATCCGCTATGGGATGCGCACCATTCACGGTGCTTCACTGGTACCTTGCTAATGTCCTAAAATAGTTTTTGCCCACACTTCAGCTTTGAATGCATGTAAATGTGAAAATGGCTTGTCTGACAACAGGGCTCCTTTAAAGAGGAACTGAACCCTCCTATCCTGTACAGCCAAGAAAGCTCAATAGTTGACATGGTGCTGTCCATATGAGACCAGCTATTCGATGGCTTGACAGTTTGGTTGAAAACACAAGCAACTGTAAGGCCTTTTTCACACCTATGCTTTTTTTTAGTGTGTTTTGCAGAAATGCCCTACAGTCTATTTAAAATGATTGCCTATGGGACACGTTCACATCTATGCATTTTCAGCCACTGTGTTTTTGGAAAGAGGTACTTTTTTTCCTCCCCACAGCAGATTGCGTTTTTGGTGCAATAGACTTCAACACGTTTTTCTTTTTGTTTGTTTTTTGTCAATAGGAAACTCTCTGGCAACTCAAGTGGATTCAAAGTTGCAGCAACTTTTAAAAGGTTCCTGCGCTACTTTGATGCAACTTCGTGTATCAGAGGGTGTAAAGTCGCACCAAAGTAGTGCAGGAACATTTCCAAAGTTGCTGCAACTTTGAAAAGGTTACTGCACTATTTTGATATGAATTTGAGTGCCAGAAAAGTCACATCAAAGTTTTTTTTCTTGGAGAAAGGGGGCCCAACTTCTGATCTTGGGGGCCCAACTTCTGATCTTGAGAAAGGGGGCCCAACTTCTGATCTTGAGAAAGGGGGCCCAACTTCTGATCTTGAGAAAGGGGGCCCAACTTCTGATCTTGAGAAAGGGGGCCCAACTTCTGATCTTGAGAAAGGGGGCCCAACTTCTGATCTTGAGCCCAACTTCTGATCTTGAGAAAGGGGGCCCAACTTCTGATCTTGAGAAAGGGGGCCCAACTTTTGATCTTGCATACAGCTATATACCTTTCGCTTTCCTTTTTTCCGTCCCTTTCACTTTCCTTTTTTCCGTCCCTTTCGCTCTCCTTTTTTCCGTCCCTTTCCGCTCTCCTTTTTTCCGTCCCTTTCGCTCTCCTTTTTTCCGTCCCTTTCGCTCTCCTTTTTTCCGTCCCTTTCGCTCTCCTTTTTTCCGTCCCTTTCGCTCTCCTTTTTTTTCCGTCCCTTTCGCTCTCCTTTTTTTTCCGTCCCTTTCGCTCTCCTTTTTTTCCCGTCCCTTTCGCTCTCCTTTTTTCTGTCCCTTACTCTTTTTTTTCCCTCCCCTTCTCGCTCTCTTTTTTTCCTCCCTCTTTTTCCTCCCCCTCTCTCTTTTCTTTTTTTTTTCTTCCCCCCCCCCCCCCCCCCCCCCTTTTCTTTTTTTTTCTCTGCCACTCTCTTTTTCTTTCTTGAGATAAATGTGTGTGTGCACAGCCAATATAAATGAACACGTCCATGTACAAGACTGTTGCAGATTAGCTTTGGCAGGAGGGTTGGTGTTGCTAAAGAAGATATGTCACCATGACTTGACATTTTCTGCTGTAATGTACAGTACGAAACTAACTGCCTGATAATGACGGTATCCATGTATTTAGGTCACATTTTACCTTTCTTTTGAAATCCTTGCTATTGCTACAACTTTGCACAACGCGACTGTTGTATTTATGTTCACAACACATTGGTGACCTTTTATGTTGAATTTGAAGCAAAGAAAAAAAAAAAGAAAACATTTGCTTCCCAGCTTCCAGGTAGATGTTAGGTGTACATTTCAACCTGCAGTTCAAAACTGTTGATTGGCAGCTAGCTGTTTGTCGCTGAGAACACAGACAGTTGCTGAATCCTTTGCCAGTGCTAAAATCGACTTAAAGAGGTGGGTGGAAAACCTTGGTGCAGAGGTGGACTGACCATTTTGAAACTCGGGCACTGCCCGAGGGCCCGGGGTCAGTAGGGGGCCCCATGAGATGCCCCTGGTACCTTTTTCATAGGCTTTTTTGAGTTTGGGCAAGGACACAGGGGCCCCATGATCCCCTATTGCCCGGGGGCCCCATGAGTTGTCAGTCCGCCCCTGCCTTGGTGTAATAGGTGCACAGCTGCCATTTTTCCAGTACAGTCTGGATCCTATAACTCAGCCTTTTTGACATGGAGGAACCCTTGAAATAACTTTCTAGTCTCAAGGAACCCCTGATTACTAGCATGATGGTTGCTGGGAATAATGCTCCTTACATTGGTGGTCAGTGGGAAGAATCCCTCCTACAGCTAAAGAGATCATGGTGTCAGTGGTTGCTCAAGGAACCCTAGGACTCCACAGAAACCCTGGTTGAGAAAGGCTGATGAGTCTTGCCTATTTTAAAAACATATTGTAATCGGTGCTGGAACATTTTGGATGTGGGAAGTATTGTATCACACATTCAAGTAAGCCCGTCTGCTTTTTTTAACCGTTTTAAAGACTTAAGTCCTCATTAAGATTAGACACTACAAGTTGCCTGTGGTTACGTTTATTACCCAGAAAATACTATTGTGTGTTTCGTTCTGAAATTGTTTTTATTTGTGTTACTAAGGGTATATTCACACCACATTTGATGGGACTGCATTGGGTGGCTATTCCAGCACAGTCCCAACGTATGAACAAGGCAAAAGGCCTCATCTTCTCCCTACCCTATCTAGACACTAAGCACCACCCATCTTTCAATAATGCCTACATAATGCCTGTAGACCCTGGGGGGGACTCTAAATGCTACTGCCTTTTGGCTTGTGCCTGCTTAGTTATACAGGATGGATCTATTGCCTACAAGCCCCCTTTGAACTGCTTTTTTGACACTTGATGCAGCTTGGGGCTGTCTTATGGCGACTTCAGGGCTGGAAATCGTCTGGACCAGTGGGGTTACCACATTTGGTCATCTGTGTGGGTGCTGGCAGATATTGGCAGACTAGTTTTGTTATTCTATGGCTATGTGTAATTCCAATGTATGTATATAATATGAACTCATCTACACCACCCTCTTCCACTGTTCACCCCTGATGAAAGAAAATATTCTGAAACGCGTTGGTGCTCCAAATATGAAGCCATAGTGGAACAAATGAGGATGTTTCTACACATACAAGCTAATGTTGTTTGCCTTCTTTGAAACAGCCATTCATATTCATGTTTTATCTATGAGTCAAACTATATATTTTTTTTTTTTTATTCATATTTAATAAAGTTTTTTGTATTTTACCTAAGTGTGCTTTGTAGTTGCCCTTAAAGTCCCGTACCATTTCTTTTTGGGGGTTCTCTGCTTTCTCTGTCTATTTGAGATGTTGGCAACAGTTGATAGACTGATGTTAGTGTTTTCCTTGCTTGCCAATTCTAAGCTAAGTTTCTGTTTGTTGTCAGGCTCTGCATATTTGGCGACCAGTACTCTACATTTTCAACAAGAGGCCGACTTCCGAAAATCCAAACTGGTCGCTCAGAAAAACATGCAGATCAAGCTGCTTCCTGCCTTAACGGACAACTACATGTACCTCCTGATTGACGAGGAGACAAAGGAGGCCGCAATTGTAGATCCGGTACAGCCACAGAAGGTACTGGTAACGCTTTTATTTAAAGTGAACCTGTCCATTCCTCAAGGATGTACATATTGTTTATATCATCATAATATGTTTCAATAGTTATTTCCAATGTACTTCTTTTCCTAAAAAGTGCAAATTATTGAACACTGTTGCTGAAATGCATGTTTTGACACTTGTCAAAGGTCTTCAGCTAAACCCTTACCTCCATCTCTAACCACTGTGATGGTCTTTGATGTGCCAGTTGACACCTGGGCTTCATCTATGCACCAAGTGTGAGGCAAAATGGCAGCAACCTGTGGGAGAATAATTGGGTTTCTCAGGACAGACTACAGCACAGTTTTTGTGCCTTGAATTTGGATAGGTAAGGTGGTTGTAGGCTAAATGATTCATATCTTACAATGGGTTCTGCAGCACTGAAAAAGAATAGGGTTGCTTGCCCTTCTATCCAACACCTGATTATTATGAGGCCTATGTATGGCTATTCTGGAATTAAGGGAAGCCTTGGAAATTTTGGAATTGGGACTGAGCACTGGTCTCCAAGCTTGGTGGAGCTTCCAAATAAATAAAATTATTTCTGTACTGTAGAGCTCTCTACTGCAAGGTGTAGCCCCATTTCAGTCCCTGGGAGAATGAGCTTGTATGGCATTGATGCACTCAACCTTTCCTTTTATACAAGTTATTTACGGAAATGACTGAATGATGAGTATGATAGGTGAGTCTGATGAGAATAAATTTGTGGATGATCAGTTGCAGGAGGAGCTGGCAGATCCCTAGGGGCTTGACAAGGGAAAGGTGGACAGTCTGGTCAGACAAGGTGACCTGGTTCGAACTTTCCATGCTGCATTTTGGAACTCTCTGGATCGAAATGGGATAGTGACCTGCTTATGAATTACATCTACAAGGGGTTTGAAAAGCCTACAGAGAACAGCAGTGCTATATTGCTACAGTAGCATGAAAAAGCATTAGTAATAGGAGGCCTTGGTTCAATAGTCCGAGTTCTGACCTCTCGAAAAAAAAAACAGCTATTCATAACCAAAGTGTCCATAGCCAGCTTGGAATGAGAATGAAGGCTTTTGAACAGTTAGGCAACTGTCTGTTCCTTGAGCAAGATCCCCAACATGTGCTCAATTCAGGTACGAGCGCTTGCAAACAAGCGATCTATCACTGCTTTAAAATATCAAACAATACAATACACACAGTATTATTCTGCATTTGACCATCGACTGACAATATTGATCAAAAAGAAAATCTATTAGTTATAAATGGTACACTCACTTAATAGATCTGAATTATAATTAGTTCTCCTGAAACATGCAGATGTTTGTTCAGTAAGTCAGAAGCGATTTAACAAAATCCTTAAATTCTAAATATTTTTGCTGCTGCGGCAAATTATAAAAAAAAAAAAAAATATATATATATATATATAAAATGAAATTAAGGAAACCACTACTGATGCAGAAACAGAACCTGATGCTGCAAACAAAAAAAAAAAAAATTTAACAGAGGAAAAAAAAATGAGAACCACAGTAACACCTGTGGTCAGGTGCATTGCTTGGGCCAATCATGGTTCTCACAATGCACTGCGAGAACGCAGTGCATTGTGCGGCGTTTGGTGGGCAAACGGCCGATGTTTGAGTCAAACTTGCGTTCAGCTCGAACATCGAGCCCAACACTAGTTGATATAATTGAGAAATATAGTGCCCCATTGATGGTGTCATTAGGGGGGATGGTGCTTCATCATTTGTCAGTTGGTGCAGTAGTGCCCCAGGGGCCAGATAAAGGCAAGCAAAGGGCCACATCTGGCCCCTGGGCCGCAGTTTGGAGACCACTGAAATAGAGGATCATCGATCTGGAATTTTTATTTAGTTTTAGTCACCATTGAATGATTATATAATCGTATTGATAAATATTTGTACTGCTCTGCCCTGACATAGACCTAGGACAGACAATCTTTGGGTGCTTAAAACTCAGGACATTATTGTTGAGATTCTTGAATTAATGATTGGTGCAAAAATCCGAAATTATCAATTCATTGGGATTGACACATGGCCAGATAAGATTAAACTGGTTTTCTGCTTCTCCAAACAGGTTGTTGATGCAGTGAAGAAGCATGGCGTGAACTTGACATCGGTCCTCACCACACACCACCACTGGTAGAATACTCTGCGCTTTCTTTTACACTTTCTAGACTTCACTTGTATATTAACATGGAATTCTAGCTCAAGCTTTTTTTTTTTCTAATTTTGGATAGAACTGGGAACAGCTAGGACATCTGTCAGATTGTGTATTGCTGTCTAATTGGGAAGATTTTCCCCCAATTCTTGTCATAGAGACTGCAATCACCAGGACAGATAATGATTGGAAATCTCACATTTTTTAGTTGTCACTGGTTCTGGAGGTGAGGGATAATCTTTGATTGAGCTTTGTTCTTGTGATGCCCTCTTCCTGTATTATCATGTATGCAGGTCTTTGAACTTTGTCTTAAAGCGGTGCTCCACCCAGAAGGGGAATTTCTGCTTTAAGGACTGGTCCCCCGCTCCCGGTAAGGATTGGCAGCTTTGGGGAGTGGGGGGAGATGTAGTTGCCTTAAGTAAGCTCCAGTGTTTCCGTGCTGGAGTTGTGGGCAAGGCCACTGCCATTCCGCACATGATGGTATTCAGACCTGGCAGTTGGCTAATCAGGCCCAGGCACTGTCCCATCGAGGAGGTGAGTGTTCTCCTTTATTGCTACATGGTCTCTTACCCAGAAGCCTGAGCCCATTAGAACAACAGAGCAAAGGCTTCGACGGAGCAGGAAGGTGGTGGGGGCATGGAGGGTCAAGTATAACTTGCTAGAAAAGTGGCTATCTGCAGATACTGTCACTGTGCCCTGTATATAACAGTGTGTCTTTAAAGTGACTATTCTTAGCTGAGGATAATGATGAAGCTTAGCACTGAAGTCAGGAAAACCAGTTTCTGAAAGGCACACAAAGGAGGTTATATTAAGCATCTTGTAGGATGTTCTTACGTTTAACAGGCTTACAGGTTCACTTTAAAGTACAATTAAAGGTTCTTGCATGACAGTTTAAACAGTTATAAAATCTATCATGTGATGCACAAGCCCCATAAAGTAAAACAAAACACTTCCTTTATCTTCCCTAAGCCTCCTTTATATGTATCTCACACGCTCCCCCTCGCAGACACTGCCGCTCACTGTGGAAGAGTTACAGCAACAGAGGCAGTGGATGGGACTAGGTGTGGCCAGGTGCTGATTAACAAGCTACAGGCTTGTGAATCATTAGTAACATCCTCTCATCCTGCTACATGAGTGACAACCCTGCTCTGAATTCAGGAGCAATGCAGCATTGTTGTCACACCATCACAGGAAGATGCTTTAGGTTGGAGTTGGTGAAATGTAATATCCTCTGTTTAAAAATTTTTCTTTTTACTAGGGACCATGCAGGAGGCAATGAGAAACTTGTGAAAATGATGTCAGGGCTGAAGGTTTATGGTGGGGACAGCAGAGTTGGAGCATTAACCCAGAGAGTTTCCCATCTAAGCACCTTTCAGGTAAGTCAGGGAACCCGTGCATGGAAGGAACACGATCTGAAATACCTTGTAGTAGCCTGACTCCTCCCTTGAAAAATGTTAGTTTAAAGGAAACAATAATAATTTTGCATTTCAGCTAGTTCAAAGGACACAGTGGCACCAAATTTCATTTTTGCTATACTATATGGCCAAACGTTTGTGGACACCTGACCATCACACCTATTTGAGCGTGTTGGACATCATATTGCAAAACCATGGGCTTTAATATAGATGTGCCCCACTTTGTGGCTATAACAGCCTTCACTCCATGGGATGTGTCTGGGAATTTGTGACCATTCGGCCAAAAGAGCAGTTGTGAGGTCAAGTACTGATGTTGAAGCAGTGAAGAGTTGGCCAGCAACCAGTGTTCTAATTCATCCCAAAGGGTGTTCAGTAGTGTTGAGGTCAGGCTCTATGGAGACCACACAAATTCCTTCACATCAGACCCATCAAACCATGTCTTTATGGAGCTGGCTTTCATGCTGGAACAGAAAAAGGATCTTTCCTAAACTCTTACCACAACATTGGAAGCTCACAATTGTCTTTTTGTGCTGTAGTATTAGCTGTACACTTCATTGGAAACATCTGAACTCAATAATTTACTAGGGTGTCCACATACTTATTGCCAGGAGTCCATAAACTTTTGGCCTTATAGCGTATATCTTGTTCAGTTGCCTTACCAGGAAAGTATCCGTTTTACAGGAAACACAGTAAATCGTCCAGTAACCTTCCCCATGTTCCCCTGCAACCCCTGTAACCAGTACTAAAGCCCTGCGAAATCTGCAGTACTTCTAAGTTGGGGGGGATAATGTGACATCTCCCCTACTCCTCCCTCAGCATAGCATTCTGAGCAGCCAATAACCAGGCTCAACTACTGTCACATGTCACACTTTTTTGAGAAAGTCAGAACTTACATAGGAGTTGCAGGTGGTTCTGACCATTTTTTTTTTTTCCATTTTCAGTCAGTGGTAGTCCTGAGTCAGGTGTGTATCAGGTTGGGTTGAACATTAATTAGTTATTAATATACCAGAGGACCAACCAGCGGGTTTTGTAGCTAACCAACTTTTTTTGCCTCCAAAAATAAACCGTAATTGGTTGGTCGTTTGTTATATGTCAGGTGAAATTTTGTCCTGTTTTAGGTGGGGTCCCTTCATGTGAAGTGTCTCTACACACCATGTCACACCTCAGGACATATCTGCTACTATGTGACAAAGCCCAACAGCTCCGAGCCACCAGCGATCTTCACAGGTGAGCCTCCATCTTGAATCATGGCAGCCACTCAACCGTAGAAAATCTCGAAAATTGGTCTGTACCTGTAGGGACTGCTTTTAAGTCAGGTGCAAAGTCTGTTTTTATATTAATGTGTCACAGATCTTTCTATAGGTGAATTATTAAAATTTATATTCCACCATATTTTCATAAAATAAGTGAAATAATACATTTTCTTGATCAAATCTTTACAACTTTAGGTAGAATTCTTTTCCTTGTCTCTGCCCGTCCCTAATCAACCTGTAGGGTTCTAATAAAGTTCCCACCAGACGCTGCAGCACCCAGTTCTTCTAGAGCAGCGGTTCTCAACCTGTGGGTCGCGACCCCTTTGGGGGTCGAAACAACCCTTTCTCAGGGGTCTCCTAAGACCATCGGAAAACACATATTTCCGATGGTCTTAGGAACCGAGACACCGCTTCTCTATCAGTTTTCAGGTGGGTCCGCCCACATGCAGATACGTCCACATTTCCCTGGACGCGATGTGTGCGTGGGATGACATGCCGCCCCTGTCATCTGGCCACATCCCCGGGATCACTCAACAGCTCCGCCTCCTCGCCAGTGTTTGGCCGCCAGAACTGTAGCTCAGGAGAGGCACACAGGCGGCCAATCACCGGCGAGGAGGAGGAGCTGAGCAGCAGCGCGAAGATTAAAGAAGATTGAGCAAGGGAGCGGCCGGAGAAGGAAGAGAGCTGACAGGTAAGTGTCTGTAGCGTGCAGATGGTGCTGCTGCAGCCAGGTATGCTGGCTGTAGATGGGAGAGGGAGGGAGCGAGCCCAGGCTGGAGCAGGAGTCAGCAAGGTAAGTATCATTGGTGTCAGTAGGAGGAATAGTGCCACTAATACCAATGATGGGGCACTATTCCTCCCACTGACACCAATGATGGGGCACTATTTCCCCCCCCCCACTGACACCAACGATGGGGCACTATTTCCTCCCCCACTGACACCAACGATGGGGCACCTATTCCTACCCCCCCCACTGACACCAACGATGGGGCACTATTCCTCCCCCCACTGACACCAACGATGGGGCACTATTCCTCCCCCCACTGACACCAACGATGGGGCACTATTCCTCCCCCCACTGACACCAACGATGGGGCACTATTCCTCCCCCCACTGACACCAACGATGGGGCACTATTCCTCCCCCCACTGACACCAACGATGGGGCACTATTCCTCCCCCCACTGACACCAACGATGGGGCACTATTCCTCCCCCCACTGACACCAACGATGGGGCACTATTCCTCCCCCCACTGACACCAACGATGGGGCACTATCCTCCCCCCCACTGACACCAACGATGGGGCACTATTCCTCCCCCCACTGACACCAACGATGGGGCACTATTCCTCCCCCCACTGACACCAACGATGGGGCACTATTCCTCCCCCCACTGACACCAACGATGGGGCACTATTCCTCCCCCCACTGACACCAACGATGGGGCACTATTCCTCCCCCCACTGACACCAACGATGGGGCACTATTCCTCCCCCCACTGACACCAACGATGGGGCACTATTCCTCCCCCCACTGACACCAACGATGGGGCACTATTCCTCCCCCACTGACACCAACGATGGGGCACTATTCCTCCCCCCACTGACACCAACGATGGGGCACTATTCCTCCCCCCACTGACACCAACGATGGGGCACTATTCCTCCCCCCACTGACACCAACGATGGGGCACTATTCCTCCCCCCACTGACACCAACGATGGGGCACTATTCCTCCCCCCACTGACACCAACGATGGGGCACTATTCCTCCCCCCACTGACACCAACGATGGGGCACTATTCCTCCCCCCACTGACACCAACGATGGGGCACTATTCCTCCCCCCACTGACACCAACGATGGGGCACTATTCCTCCCCCACTGACACCAACGATGGGGCACTATTCCTCCCCCCACTGACACCAACGATGGGGCACTATTCCTCCCCCCACTGACACCAACGATGGGGCACTATTCCTCCCCCCACTGACACCAACGATGGGGCACTATTCCTCCCCCCACTGACACCAACGATGGGGCACTATTCCTCCCCCCACTGACACCAACGATGGGGCACTATTCCTCCCCCCACTGACACCAACGATGGGGCACTATTCCTCCCCCCACTGACACCAACGATGGGGCACTATTCCTCCCCCCACTGACACCAACGATGGGGCACTATTCCTCCCCCCACTGACACCAACGATGGGGCACAAATCCTCCCCCCACTGACACCAACGATGGGGCACTACCCCCCCCCCCCCCCCGACACCAGTGATGGGGCACAATTCCCCCCCACACTAGTATCAATGATGGGGCACTGTTCCCCCCCCCCCCCCCACTGACACCAATGATGGGGCACTATTCCTCCCACACTGACACCAATGATGGGACACTATTCCTCCCACTGACACCAACGATGGGACACTATTCCTCCCACTGATACCAACGATGGGACACTATTCCTCCCACTGATACCAACGATGGGACACTATTCCTCCCACTGATACCAACGATGGGGCACTATTCCTCCCACTGATACCAATGATGGGGCACTATTCCTCCCACTGATACCAACGATTGGACAATATTCCTCTCACTGACACCAATGATGTAGCACTACTCCTCCCACTGCAAAATTACAGTTATGAAGTAGCAACGAAAAGAATTTTATGGTTGGGGTCACCACAACATGAGGAACTGTATTAAAGGGTCGCGGCATTAGGAAGGTTGAGAACCTCTGTTCTAGAGCATCCTGAAACCCCAAAAATGTCTTTTTAATGAAAATATCGATTTCACCAAGGGCGTTGTAACTTTGGTCTGCCCACTTCTGTGTTTAGCTAACTGTCAGTGAGACCAGCTATCAAATTTGATGGCAAATAGTAGCATGGGAGGCAGAGAAAGCGTAAAGCTAAATTCCAGGTATGGATTTTATTGCATATTTACATTGGTCCAGCTCAGACCAATGCAAGGATGTATATACCATACCTGCCTGAACAGAGAATCATTGTAGTAGTCATGCTAATACAGTGATTGCTGCTCTTCCGGATATGCCAGCCACGGATGATTTTGTTTTTTATTTTTTTTTTAGGGTGGCATTCTGACCATCATTGACCCAATGAACTGGTTTCAATAAGGGTTCACCAAGACCTGAATATTATTTTAGGCAGTTTCTCTACTGTAAAAAGATTTAAGCTATGCTTGCAGCATTGTGTGGCCATATAGATTATAATAAAAGCTCCTATAGAGAGTTTACTAGGCATTTATTAACACCACTGCTGTGCTCATTTGGTGGTGGTGCTAAATTTTAAAACATGGGCCAAAATACTGGACCAGTAACATTCAGCACTTCTCATATCGTCTATACTACTGTCATGTGACATCCAGTTCCTGTATAATGAAGTCATGTGGCTAACCGACTTGTGTCTTCTCTTCCGTCAGGTGACACCCTCTTGTGGCTGGATGTGGCAAGTTCTTTGAGGGGACAGCAGAAGAAATGTACAAAGCTCTGATTGAGATACTGGGCAAGCTTCCACCAGAGACCGTAATGTCCTAAGTCTCACCATTTTACTTTGGTTGTGACATTTATTATGGTTAAAGTGAACCTGCATCATTCCTGAACATAATAAAGTGACTATTGTGCTGTGTAAGGGACTCCATAAGGTGCCTCTCTAGCAACAAAAACTCCTTGCCAGAAATGCCGCAGCCTGTCCATATACTTGGACTGCCATGCAAATAGGTACATTGTGTCCCACAGTGCAGTGCTCAGTACCTGTGTGGCTTATTACCAGGGCTTTGTACTGTCATGTACCTATGCAAATAGCGACTTTTAGAAAGTAACTGGCATAGGTTATTCTGTGGGCAACAGTGGTGACTTTTGCTGATAAGGAGCTTCCTATGGTGTCTGTTATGCAATGTTATGGTCATCCTATCACATATCATAACAGTACCAGGTGCTCTTTAAAGGGTATGTCCACCCAGAAGTGCTATTTCCGTTATGGTGTAGTGTCCATTGCAGTTTGTAGTCTGCAGGCTCTGACAGTTCTGGCTCCATGCACTTCAATACTGAACTTGTACCAAACAGTACAGAGACCCCTCCGGGATCCTTATTTGTTGAAGCCCAACCCATGAGTTATTGATGTATGACTAAGCCTGTTAGTTGGGCAATATGTGTCAGCAAATCAAATTCTTTGAGGGTTCTCTGTTTTGGTACAATAAGGCCCCTTTCACACGGTCAGTCCGTTTTTCAGCTGTCCGTTTATGGATGAAAAACGGACAACCATGTATTTCTATGGACTAGCTGGTGTAAAGGGATGGTCATCTGTTTACATCCGTTAATGTCCGCATCCGTTTTTTTTTTTTTATCGGAAAAAAAAAGCTATTTTTCTTGCAATAAAAAAAAAACACAGTGAGGACGTCGTGACGAAACATGTAGGGCGGGGCCAGTCGGATGCTGACGTCAGGACGCTCCTTGTGATTGTCGGAAGACAGCTGAATCGAGTGGAGCTTCTGTGTTCTTTTCCTTGCCTATGCGATCCATACTGGTGTCAGTTTAGACACCTTATTTGTGAGTGGCTTTTTATCTTGTAATAAACATATATTGTAAAGACATGCTGCACCATTATATTCTTCTTTTGTCTCTGAATATGGTCCCAATGCATATGGAGCTATGGTGATTACTCACTCATGAAAGAGTGCTGCAGAGTATTCCTCCTAAAAAATCTGCCTATACTACAGAGGGGTGTCTTCCAGGTGAAAATTACCACTGCAGAGTATTGCACCAAAAGTCTGGAGTTTGCTGCTTTCATCGCTCCCAGAGCAAAAGCGCTAAGGCTGGTCTATAATTTGATCAGCACTTAGCTCTAGTGAGTGTATTCTATTTATTCGGTGGTGGATTCTTCACGGGGTTTATATTTTTTCACACGAGTTACTTTATATTTTTAAGATGTTTTGGACTTCCACATAATGATTTATGGACACTTTTTTTATGTGTTTTTTAGCACATTCCTATGTTTGATTTATTTAATGCCAAAGAAAAATATTTTTTTTTGGGATTTGGAGTTACTGGTATATATAATTAAGGGTGTGGCGCTTTTTTAAGATCATTTTGTTCAGAAAAAAAAAAAAAACTGACGAAAAAAAAAAAACGGATGTAAATAGATGAAAAATGGAAACGGATGAAAAACGGATGGTAAACTGATGAAAAACGGATGTAAACTGACGTGAACTGATGAAAAACTGTTGTGAACTGATCCGTTTTTTTCTTGGAAAAAAATGTGACTGAACTGATGAAAAAAATGCCCGTGTGAAAGGACCCTAAAATTCATGGAATGCCAGAGTGTCCAAATGCACTTGTATTTTTTTGAACAGACTGCAAGTCTTGGCAAATTACTGTATGTTAGTCTAACTAAAGCAGCCCATAGATGAGTCGTTGACTTGTTGACTTGATTTCCCAAACCACAAATTCGATGTGGATAAGGGAATCCTATGTACTTAACCTTTGTATTCTGACAGCAGGGAGACTTCCCTGCCATCAGAATACACTGATTAGACCTGCCAGCAATAGCCTGCAGCACTGACCAAGCAGCAAAATTAAAAAAAAAAAAAAAAGGGCGATTGTACAGAGGTCGATCATTAGATTCAAAACAAGACAACACACAAATAGGAATACAGGAAATTAAAATGATTGATTCACAGCAAGCAGGATCATACTCCAATGTGTGTGGTGTGCATTCCAGCTCTGCAGTGCCCCATTCCACCCACCTTGTGTCACCACTCTCCGTTTTGCATGCTTCACAATATGAAATAAAATGAAAATCCATAAGGTAGAGCCTACTTGCACATCAAACCAAGGAGATTAAACAATCTAGTAGGTCTCATTATTGCAATGCCTGTAAGATATAAAATGTATTAGGTGCAGAACTCCAGTGAAATGCAACTGCAGTTTCTTAAAAATCTAAATTCTTAAATTAAATAGTGGTTGGCACAACCACTACAGCCTTGCAGCACTGGGGTCATTGGTTCGAATCCCGCCAGGACATGATGTGCATAGAGTTTGCAAACTTTTTTTAAAATATTGGTTGGAGCAGGAAATGGATTTTTTCATCTGTGTCTATGCAGAGATCTTCCTTTTGAGATTTGAGCGGGTCGCTTTATTTTTTAATGAATTCATAGCTATATTAAATTTAGAAGTTAACGTTTGCATTGGAACCAAAACAGAAATACCAGATGTTGTTCAATTTATACTTCTTTTGCAGAGAGTCTACTGTGGACACGAATATACCATCAACAATTTGAAGTTTGCACGTCATGTGGAACCAAACAATGATCAGATCAAACAAAAGTTAACTTGGGCTAAGGTAGATCATTTGTAGGTTTTATTTTTCTTAAGTTTGCATTTCCAAAAAGAAAAACATGCAGAAGTCTGAGCAAAGATCACTTCTAGACAGTGATGCCTCTAGGCCACAAGGGCTTACGGGGGGGGGGGGGGGGGGGGGAGAGAGAGAGAGAGAGAGAGAGAGACTGACTTACATAAGAGGAGATATCTGTGTGTGTCTTACATAAGAGGAGATATATGTGTGTGTCTTACATAAGAGATATATGTGTGTGTCTTACATAAGAGGAGATATATGTGTGTGTCTTACATAAGAGGAGATATATGTGTGTGTCTTACATAAGAGGAGATGCATAAGTAGAGATCCATTAGGATGCTGAATTATTCTTCATTTGAATTGTCCTACAGTTTGATCCTGAGCTCTCTCTTTCATCCTACAGGAAACATACAGTAAAGGGGAGCCCACCATACCGTCCACACTGGCAGAAGAGTTCACATATAATCCATTTATGAGGGTCAGGTGAGTTCATCCAGCACATCTAGAGGAGCTAGAATATGGTATGGTCCAACAAACCTGCATGTCTTCTGTGCAGCCTTCCTTCCTTTTGTATCATCAAAGCATTTGCACCTAAAAAGTGGCTGGATGTGACTCCAATAAACCCCTTACAGCAGACGAGAGCCACCCTTTTAAAGGCTTCCTGTTCATGTGTCGCTGTGATTGACTGTCACAAGGATCATGTACAGGAGTCCATCTTACCAACTCCCAATTGTAAACAGTGACCAGGAATTGTCAGTGACAGTGCAGTCAGCATGGAGCACGGAGGCACGCTATTGAGCGCACTCTCTCTCAGAACAGGACAACCACACTGGCTGTACACATCTGGCAAGATGGCATTAAAGTCCACCACCATACTGCCATATACACTCACTGGCCAATTTATTAGGTACACCTTACTAGTGCCAAGAAAATATCCCCGACACTATTACACCACCAGCCTGAAACTTTGATACAAGGCAGGATGGATCCATGCTTTCATGTTGTTTACTCCAAATTCTGACCCTACCATCTGAATGTCACAGCAACTCGTCTGCCCATTCTTCTCTGACATCAACAAGGCATTTTCGTCCACACAATTGCCGCTCACTGGACGTTTTCTTTTTCGGACCATTCTCTGTAAACCCTAGAGATGGTTGTGTGTGAAAATCCCAGTAGATCAGCAGTTTTTGAAATACTTAGACCAGCCCGTCTGGCACCACCAACCATGCCACATTCAAAGTCATTTAAATCCCCTTTCTTCCCTATTCTGATGCTCGGTTTGAACTTCAGCAAGTTTTCTTCACCATATCTGCATGCCTAAATGCATTGAGTTGCTGCTGTGTGATTGGCTGATTAGCAATTTGTTACCAAGCAATTGAACAGGTGTACCTAATAAAGTGGCTAGTGCGTGTGTATGCACATGGCCAGCAACAACAGATTAAAATGAACCTGTCACCACAATGTCACATATATACTTACCCTTCCAAAAGGAGAGGATTGCTGTAAATAAATTACCCCTCTACATGGCCCTTAAAAATAAACACGTCTAAGGGGCTGAATACTGTTCACCATATTTAAAAAGCTGTGCATTCCCTTTAACTGGAATGTCTGCATTTGCACCAACAGGGAGAAGTCCGTGCAAGACCATGCAGGGGAGAGTGACCCCATCTCTACTATGGCATCGATTCGCAAAGAGAAGGATAATTTCAAGGTGCCCAAAGACTGAATCCAGCTTCCCAGGCCAAATTCATCTACGAATCACTACTTGATTGTCTCACAGCAGAGGGCACTTTAATCTTTTAAATCTGTAACTTTGTCCTGGCTAGCAAATTCTCGCTTTAATTTTTTTTTGTATAAATTTGGTTAAGAAAAAAAAAAAGGTTTTCTCAAAGCCTAAAAATTATGGGTTGCTAGACCAGCACAAAAAACATTGTCAATGTGTAAAATTCAATCCATATGCATGGCTGTTTTGTTACTAGAGCTTTGATTTATGCTCCCTCCTGGCACTGTGGGGGGGGGGGGGGGTTTATGGATACGCAATACAAGCCCTCAGATTGTTATATCTGTAAAAAGAAGAGTGCAAGATATTTTTATTCTTAAATTCAGAATATTTTGTTTTCAGCACATAATGGAATTATTTTGGTTTTAAGGAGCAACTTTACCCGGAATCCTTCACATTCTATGCACAGTCGAGCATTGTGAAACCTGAGGCCAGGGAGGTCAGAGCATGCCATGGCTGGGGTGGTAGCGTGAAATCCTGATGCCAGCAGCGAATAGGAACCCATGGTGCATTTACTAAAGGCAAATAGACTTTGCAAGTGCAATTGCTGAAGAACTAAAGCAGGCCATGGATGATGCAATTTTTCTCTCCCGCAACCAGTTTGCACAAAATAAAATCGCTCGATTCCCTTCATCAACATAGTCAGTGGTGAAGGGGGGAATCCATCCTTTGGAACTATTGTGTTCTGCCAGCAGGGAGGCGTGTGGGAGAGTTGGGGTTTGGAAGGGGGGGCTCGTTCTTGCTGGGAGAACACAGTGATTATTGCTAGTGGCTATAGCACAACAATCGAATTGGCTACAATCCGCATGTCCATAGATGGTTTGAATCTTGATTGGTCCCTGCTGAACAGGCCAAGATTTGAACCATCTATGGACGGCTTTAGTAAATAAGATGAAGCTTCACTTTGCAAAAAATGACCAATCACATGCAAGAAGAATTAACAGAACTGCATTTTTTGCTTGCACATGATTGGATGATGGGAGTCGGCAGAGCTTCCTCTCATTTTACCAAGCTCTGGAGCAATTGCAGAGGGAATAGTATTATTTGCATTTATTAAATCCACCCCACAGTGAGGGCAAAAACGGGTTGCCATTGCTGATATCCTTCTGAAAATCCATGGCTTGCATTCTTATCCTTTGGCTTCAGTGCTTTCAGGGAACCTCATGCAAAGCAACCAGTTACCGCAGAATCAGAACTCGTGCCCAGCTTACCTGTTTTGAATCAATGACTTAGGGGCTCATTCCTATAGCTATCCATTATACACTGCAGAGCTACCGAATGCTGCTGAATGTCCATTCATAGAATTAGGCCCATGGTATACATACAGCCTGTGGTATGCCACTTCATAAGGCAGCAGAGACAACTGAATGATTGTAGGAGAGGTGGTCATGTGACTTTTTTTCATTCGCTCCCTATTCGTTACTTTGGTGCAGCTTAGGACTCTCAAAATCAGTGAAGCTTAATCCACATTGGTAAAGCACATCACTGTGCTTCATAAATGTACAAGATATTTTTTAAAGTCAAAATATGGTTGTGGTATGGTTTGCTTTTAAATGGACCCCTTAGATAGCCATATATGCACAGGGTCAGCATGCCAGATAAAGTGCATATTTAGAAGGTTAGCAATGGCAACTTGCATTTTTGTGTCATGACAGGTTCCCTTAAAGGCTAGAAAGGTTTGGAGGAAGAGCCCGGGCCAAAAAGTTGCTCTTTAGAACATACATGCTGTATATTAAGTAATATTTACTGACACCAGCAGAGTGGCTCTGCATACAGTGCCGTGTTTTGTTTCTTTACTTGGGTCTAAACATGCCAAAGGCATAATCCGCGTATAGCTTTCCTCTTCCTTATATACCTGCTCAAAGTCTTGCTAAAGAACAAAGAAAAAAAAGTCTTCACTGCAGGTCTATCCTGTGGTACAAAAAGTTCTGCAGTGTACTGCATCAACCAATTAGATTTCAGCTTTCATCATTGTAGGGCAGTCAGAATAATGGGCGTGAAATACATAGGCTTCATTGCTGACCTGTCCATCTGAGATTACTAGCTGCCATGCATTGAAAGCCCAATTGAACTTTCAGTTTTAAACTAAATACATTTGGGTGCGTCAAAGCAAAAAGTGTGCAAAGTCTTAGACCCCTTTCAGACGGGGTGTATCTGTCAGCATGACCCGCCTGCTCAGCGGGGGATCTCTACGCTGGTCCCCGCTGAGCAGGTGGATGACAGGTCTCTGTCTGCTCTGCTGCTGCAGAGCGGACACACACACTGCCTGTTGATTTCAAAGGGACGGTCAGATGGAAATGGACCATCTGTCCATTTCCACCCGATTGTCATCTGATCCGATCCACTGGATGGATGGGGAACGGATCCCCATCTGTCTGTTTTTGGCAAACGGGATTGGATCAGATGACGGCAGGTGTCAGCGAACTATTATCCGTTGACACCCACCGGTCCATAGAAGCCTATGGATGGACCAATCAGGTGTGCCTGAAAAATGGACAGGTGGACCCCATTGGTCCTCTCCTGTGAAAGGGGCCTAAGTATGTGCTATTTAGAAAGCAGCCACAGCTTGAAAAGCTTGTCACCTTCCAGCATGCTGAAGAGTTCTTGCTTTCTGTAGGGAAGCAGTGGTCTCTTTGCAACAGTCCACCGTGATCCCTGCCGAGTCCGAAATCGTTAACCAGTCAACTTCTTGCATGAACCTTACTGATTGCAGAGCCAAAAGTACAACTTAGTAGGGGTGTGTCAGACTCCTGCAGTGAGACCACTGCTTCCGCACAGCACACTGCAGAATTGAATCTTTGCTTTATTTGTCAGAGGCAGGACACAGGCTTTTCTTCTCTGTGGCTGCTTTGGAAAGATAATAACCTGTAAGACACTGAACAGCTTTTGTTTTGATGCATCTAAAATGTTTTTAGCCGATTTAAACAAATTTCAATTGGGATTTATTATTTTTATGAATGAACTGGAACACGTATGTAGATCAAACATGGCTACATTTGCTGCATGCTAGATCAATGATTTAGTCTTAAAGCCAAAGCAGCCAGGCAATGATCATTCCCAAAAGGCAACAATAATGACATCCTATATATTACTTTCCATCGAATTTACTCCAATCTGACTCACTTAAAGTTGAATTCCACCAAAAGTGTTTTTTTTTTTTTTTTGTTATTTTGTGGACAGAATGTGCAAGGATTAGAATTCAGGTGTCAGGTTTTAATGTCCATCCGTGCTTCCATTGGTGATATTTCCTCTCATTTCCCGTCCTGTTGACCACACAGGAAATCTTCCCAGTGGGAAGAGATCAGACAGCTTTAAAAACCTGAAAGAGATCCTAACTGCTCCCCACTCTAGTATAAAACTAGAATTGTTTGAGTTGCTGTCTGTGTCCCCATTGGAGAGACCTTCCCTTCCACCCTGCCTTGGTGACTCAACAGGAAGTGAAGGGGAATCTCCCCAATGAGGAGATGGCAGTACAAAAAAAAAACTGACGGGTGTAACCCTTCCCTGTTCTGTCTATCTCTTGCAGGATTATCACCCTTATATTGCAAAGAACAATCAAGGTTACCCATTAGGCAGCCAACTAGAACTCATATTTCATTATTCTAACCCCCCCCTACAATGTACCATTGTGCCTCCATACACTACATTTAAAGGGTTAGTTCACCTTTACTGACTTTTGCCCAAAACATCCCCAAATATTAGTGTTTTCAGTACATTAACATGCAGTGCTAGCTATATTTTGTAAAAGAAATGCTTCCTTTTGTCAGCTGCTCATATCAATGCTACCCCCCTTCTATTCTTGCAGATGGCAGGATGTACTGGGCATTGGATGTGTGGCCTCGGAACTCACGAATGAGCACTCAGCTTCATTTCCTACCCATGCATGCGCAATCTACCCTCTGTGAGAGAGTGGACAGCACATGCGTGGGTAGGGAATCAAGTTATGTGCTTGTTTGTGAGTTTTAAGGACTGCGCATCCAACGCTTGGTACATCTGCAAGAGGCGAGAGGGCAATGCAATGAGCAGCTGAAAAAGTAAGCATTCTTTTACAGCATTGCGTGGTAATGTACTGAGGATGCTGTAATGCTTGGGGATGTTTTTGGCAAAGGTCAGTAAGGGTGAACTGACTCTTTTGTTACCGCTTGTATCTTACATTTAGTATATGGAAATATAGAAGGTAATTAAAAAAACATATTCTGAGAATTATATTTTCGTTTCAGAAATTATATACAGCTGCATTTAATAAGGCAGCATGCAGCAGCCCATACCAGCCAATCAGAATTCATTACTGATGAGACATCAGTAAAGTGTAATCTGGTTCCTATGCATTAAGTGTTAACCAGCAGATTATGAGTGTGTGGGGTGAAATATTAATCCACTGCAATATTGTGCTGAACTGTTAAATATATTTAAATAATTCTGCTTAAGTTAAACTGAGAGCACATGTTTTGCAATAAATTGCATTTAACAATGTCATTTCGCAAGTATGTTTGTTGTCTTTATATCTCTGATATGTTTAATGAACCTCAGAACAAAAAGAATGGATTTAATATCGCTATATAAAACAATTGGTCTTTGCGAAGGCTGTTGAATATATATAAAGTACAGTAATCAATGGAAGCCAATAGGATTTGTTGCAGTTACAGTATTTTGAGTGTGACTTTAAATAAAATCCAGACTAGGGACTCATTTCTTATTATACAGGATTTATATAGCGCCAACAGTTTGCTCAGCACTTTACAATATAAAAAGACAATACAGCAACAATACAGTTCAATACAAGAGGGATAGGAGGGCCCTGCTCATGGAAGCTTACAATCTAATAGGGAGGGGCTGGTGGAAAAAAAGGTAATAACTGTGGGGGATGAACTGATAGGAGAGATAGAAGATTTGGTTATTAGCTGAGGGCAGGCTAGGCTTCCCTGAAGAGATGAATTTTCAGGAAT